TATTATTGTTTTCTAGTTGTTCATTTATCTTGTTTTCTAAAATTTCGTAATCGTGGTGATCTGGCGTTCCTGCCAGCCATTTCCATGCAGTACCTATTGCTTCTATTGCCCTTTTTTGTCTTTTCCTAGTTTGTAGTCTGTGTAAATCAGTATGTAGCTGTCCTAATTCGTAAGAAAGATATGGGTGTAATGGGTGAGATGATGTGATTCTATGAAGTGACTCGTCCAATTCCGAAAGTGTTTCTTCGTAGTTCTGTAAGTTAAACATGTGGATGATTTTAAATGTTCCGTCTTGTTTAGCTGCCAGTCCTGTTTCCTGTGATTTGCGAATTGGAATAATCGAGGACCGTGGTTATCCCCAAGCATGTTGGTAAAAATAGTCTGAAGATTTATGTTCTTATATTATTTTTATGAATGATTTTTCCGGTTTGTGTTTTAATAGTGGTGTTTTTGTTTTCTGCTACTTTCTCTGATTTGTATCTGGGTGTAAGTTTTGTTCCTAGTCTTTTATCTATTTTTACGAGTACTGTGTCGCCTGGTGAATATTGAATCGGTTGTTTTCTTTTTTGATTGTGGTATTCTAGATCTGTAACTTGTTTTTATTTTCTGTTTGATTTCTTCCCTCTTTTCCTCAATGTCTTTTATTGAACTTGGAATTGTGCTTCTGAAAAATATGTCTACAGGTCTGTCTTTCGTTACTGAATGTATGGATTTATTATATTCTTGAACTGATTTAAAAAGTAAGTCTGCAAATGTCATACTCTCGTTGTTTTTTTGAGACATCGCATAATTTCGGTTAATGTTGAATGGAATCTTTCTATTTGTCCGTTACTTGTCGATGAATACGGGGCTGTGGTATGTACTGATATCTTAAGTTGGTCTTCTAGCATGAACCTTATTGCAGCCGAGCTTAGTGCTCGTTCGTTATCCATTACTATTATTTTCGGCATACCAAAAGCAATAAGCATTTCTCTTAGTGGATTTTTTATGTCTTTTTGACTTTTGACTTTTTTGCTTTTGACTCTAAAATTTTTACTTGTGCATATTTTGAGAATTTATCGATACCTGTTAATACGCTTTGTTTTCCTGTAATGTAAATATCTACGTGAATAATTTCTCCTGGGTAATTTGGGATGGGAGTTGATTGGATTTCTCCTTTTGAGGGGTGTCTGTCGTACTTTGATTTTTTACAAGTTTGACAGAGCTGAACTATAGCTTGAATTTTCTTTTGGGCCTAGAATACCATGAAAAGTTTTTAAAGTATTTAATAAAAAGAATTTCATCGGTGCATCGGAAAGATTAAAAAGTTTAAGCATAGCATGGTGCGTTATTTTGGTATTTCCTCCGACTGAATTGATGGAGAAAACTTTTTCGTTAGGTTTGGGTTTTGGTACTAATTGTTTTGGATATCATTTTGGTTTGAACCGGTGTCAATTAGAAATTTTAGTATTTTGGTTCTCAAGGAGGCTGCATAGATGAAGAGCGTGCCCTAAGTCATGTGGTTCTTTAATGGCTAACAATTGTGACAAGTTGCCATTCAGGCCTCTGACAAATGTATCCAAAGCCTTTTCTCGGTACATGACTGTCAAAGATTTCACGGTCTCTTGAGAGACATCTAAGTTACTAATTTAGTTCAAAATTAGAGAGTTGTTGATAGACTGTCTGATAGAATTCAACTATGGTATTGCTACCTTGTTTAAGGGCATAAAGTTGATATTCTAAAGTTTTTAAGTCATGTTTGTCTGCAAAATGCGCCGTTAGGCATTTCGAAATTGCTGTCCAGTCTAGAGGAGTATTGTATGACTCCAATACGGCGTCTGCTCGTCCAATAATCTTATTGCGAATTGCCAAAAGGATTCCAAGATATTTAGGTGAACCCATTTTATTTTCATAGAGTTTTAATACCCTATTTAGAAAAGTCTTTATTCGGATTTAAAATTTCCTTTACTAAGTTACCGAGGTTTTCCTCTAGAACTATTTTAATCTTTTCCTCAATCTCACTTTCTGTCATAATTCGTGCGTTTAGTCGTGTGCTTGAAGAAGGTCCTGAGAGTCTGTCAACTAAGTCTTGTTCGGTCATTTTGATATAATGACAATTGATAAAGGATTTTGATTTTGTTTTCACTCAAAAGTTGGATCTTAAATAATTCGTAAATAATTTGAATTTCGTTTTCTTATTTTTTTTGTTGAGAATTCTTAATCGCTAATTGTGTTAATTTCTTTTCAGTGTTATTGATAGAAGATTTTGATTTTGATCATTACTTTTGTTGAGAATTCTTAATTTGTTATTTTGTTAATTTCTTTTCAGTGTAATTGTTTTTTCCAAGTGTACTTAAAACTATTCTTACAGTAATAACATTCCTCGGCGTGCTCTCGTGACGATAGACTTGGCGGGTTCCTTTTTGTCCCACTCTGCGGCGATTCCTCTCGAGTGTGGGTCTACTGGGGGGCCTCCTCTATACCTTTTCTCACGTTCCCTCCGAACGGGTACTAAGGGGATCACGGCCATAATTTCTGGCCTGGTCTTTCCTCCAGGTACAAGTCCTTTACACAAGGGGTAGCGATTTTTTCGCTCCTCCGGTTCGCGTTGTTGGATTTCACTCATCACGTATTAGGCGGAGTTATTATACCGAACGTCGGGATTTTTTTACCGATCGACGCGAGACGCGGAACTTGGCACCTTTCGAGGATTAGACCCAGGTCCCTGTTCGGGCGCCAGTTAAAGATTATTAGTTATTTTTTTATTAAAAAAATAATCTTTATTATATTGAGTTGGATTAAGAACTAAATTTGCTTAAGCTTAACAATCGTTTATATAGGCTGCTTGCTGCTCTGTCGCTGTCACCGTCTCTGCCGCCGTCATTACTTCCGCTGATGTTCTTTGTTTTTCCGCTGACGTTCTTTGTTCTCATTAGCCGGTTATGACAATTTGTAATTATTGGCCGCTTCCAATTACCATTGGTCAATGCATTGATTTCCACATTGGCAGATGCTTTAGATATGGTAAGCCACGTGCGCTGAGCTTGCATCTTTTGGGTAGCGATCGTGGGAATACAAATCCGGAAGTTTGAGTTGGTAGTAAATTGAACTTCTGGTTTCTTCACCCGGTTGCGCCATATGTACTGAGCTTGCATCTTCTAAATATAAGTATAGCTACAGAACGACGTAGTCGTTTTTGGGTAAAAATTGGTTACAGCAAATGGGAGCACTTTGAAAAAAATATTATTATACCAAATTTTAGTTATAAAAATATATAACTTAAAAAAAGTGATCAAAAATATCTTACGTCTTGCCATAGAAACCGTTATATTCGGCACGCAGCAGTTTATGTACCCTTGCAAATAGATATTCTATCACTAGGAATTAATATAATATAAATTATATATATTTTTGTTAAATAGCAATAAGGTGATGCCACGTTTGTATGGCAGCTATATGAAATAGTCTCCGATTTTCATAAAATTTAACAAAAAATTTTAGAATAATATAAAATAGATATACCTTAAATTTGATAAAAATCTGTTGAAAACTGAAAAGTTATACAGTTGAATCCCGATAATTCGTACCCCGCTAAATCGAAAATCGCGATAATTCGTAAAAAATTCTGTCCCCTTGAAAAAAACTCGTTAATTCGTAAAAATTCCATACATTTTGGTCCCCTCGTTAATTCGAAGTATTTGGCGCAACGCAAAGAATATTGAACCTCTTATAAATTGTAATTTTGTTTCGAAACCTCTTATAAATCGTAATGCGATGCGAAATATTTTGTAGTTAAAGCGACGTTAGATTTTGCAGGCATCAGATCGGAGAAGAAATTTTATAGAATTTACAAACCAGAGCATTAATTCCTCAACTTAAACATTATTTTTCGACTCATGATGTGCCAAATAGTGTGTTTGACAACCTAATAGGTTTAGAAAACGCAATGGAAAAAATATAAGAAAAAAACACGAAGCAATAAACAATTACCAATTATTTTAAATCTTGAATTTTCATTTTTAATAATTTAATCTTTCTGCTTAATTTTGTTTGTTAATTTTTTGTTTAATTTTCCTTTAATTTGAAAAACGTACAAACGAATGTACATATTTATTATGTAAACATGATGTGAAATGTAAAAACCCCGTTTATTCGACTCTTTCATTTTTGAGCCCCTTTAAATAGAAATCTCGATAAATCGAATTCCCGTCTAATTCGTAAAAAAAAGTGATCCCCTTGCCATTTCGAATTATCGGGACTCGACTGTAGTATATTTTATTCTTATTTTATTTTTTATAGATCAATTTATGCTACAAAATAAAATTTCATGGAAATCATGCCTGCTTTATTATTCGGGTGTTCGATCTATCCCTTTACATCTTATACAATACCTGCAGTAGAAAAAAGACTATCTATCCTAAATCCAGTTTGAGTAGAAACGGAGACACAAACCAACATAGCTAAATACGAAAATTATTTTTTCACTGATGTGCAAAATGGTAACGAAATAAAAATAATATAAAATAAAAATAATGTGTAAGGCGACCCTATAATATGAATAGGTGTTTATGGGAAAGACAACGGATTTGCCACCCTTGGGCAATAATAACTAACGCACGAATAGGTCGATTATATGCTGTATTTATTTTCTTGTCTTTTGTTCTCTAGTCGAAGCTGCAACAACCGATCGAACGCTTGGCTTCAATACATATAATTACAATGTGGCTTAGCTTAAAAGAAGAAGAGATAGAGAAATAGATCACGAAAGAGAAGAGCTAAGAGCGCAGCAGGTGGAGCCATTCACCTATGCGCGCATAATTAGGCGCTAGCAGTCTGCTCCGAACAATAGGTTAGGCCTTCATTGTACTCACTGTCCCCATTCTGCACTTTCTTCCTTAGAAAATCGTCAACTTTGTAAAGAAAACCCTCTAGTATTTAAAAATTATTTTTACTTTCGTGCGTAGTAAAATTAAAAAATTATAATTTTATGTTTATTTTACTAAAAACGAAAAATAGTTATATTCATTTTGCATGACTTACTTCCATTTACATTACTGCATTAAAGTATTTAGCCAAATTTAAAATATAAAGACGATTAAAGAAAAGAGACTTAATATAAATGCATCTACATGTCTAGAACCTTTAGAACGAAAATCGCCATTACCACTTAACATATAATTCAGACAAGTCTTAGCTGGTTTGACATATGCGGTAAACTCAGGGAACCGTATAATTTCCGATGGCTGAAAAAATGAGAAATTTTCTTAGTTAACGCGAAACATCATAATAATTTTTAACAGAACTTACTATCGATATCGAGTCGTTCGAAACACGACAAAATGTCATGTGTTTTCCAGTTATAAATTCTAGCTCAACACGTTTTGTAAAGAGCGGTTCATGCCAAGGCAATTGATATAAATGGGACAAAAATGTTCGATCATGAAATTCAACAGGATCAGAAATAAGCAATTTGTCTGTAAATAAAAAGAAACCCTTAATGAATAAAGATAAGTTATGAGCATTATCGGATTTAAACGTACACACGGTCAAAATAATAAGTACACGCATATGAGGTTTCTTAAAGCCTCAAAAACTTATTTTATAAGCTTCAAGAAAAAATTATAATTTTTTTTAGCTTTCAAACTTACTACAGATAATAAAAAATATAACAAAAGAAATTTGGATTTCACATTTAAAAACTACGACCGAATTGATCGAAAAATCATACATATGGGTTGGTCTAAATAATAAGTACAGAAATTCTTCTAAGCTTTGAGCTCGAAAATTATCAAACTTTTTTTTTATTAGTAAACTTATACTAGTATCTGACATAACCACCGTTATTTTGAATAAGTTTCGCTATAATTTTGGGGTACGAGACTACGAGGAAATTGACTACTGGTCAGGTTGTTTGCTTGCATAAGATCTAGTACTTCTACTTGGTACGTGGAAATTAAGCTGCTTCTACAAGTCAGCACTTTCCAAATCACCATGGATAAGCTTATAAATGAAGGTTATTCTTAGCATCGTTCTACGATTGGCTTAGGACGGTATGTTTATTAAGAGGAGTCTATTTGAATAGGAAGATAATCTTTGGTTTGCATTCCAATTTAAACCGCATAGAGCGAAAAGCAAAAAGTTCTTTTGAACCAACTCGATGCGTTTACTATGGACGCCGTACTGAGGGCTCCATACACAGCATCCATATTCTAAGATGGGACGAACTAAAGAGGTATATAAGGATTAAGTGACACACGGGTCATTGAATTCCTTCGACCACCGTTTAATAAATCCAAGCACACCGCTGGCTCTATTCACCATAGACGAATTATGATCAATAAAGTCAAGTTTTGGGTCTATCCGGATGCCCAAATCATCGACTGAATAAATTCTTTCCCGTTTAAGTTTAATAAGTTTACACGGCACAAAGTTTGAAAATTATTGAGATCTGTTTGTAAATTCGACTGGAAGACGACGTCATTGTATTGCACGCAAAGCGTGACGTCATCCGCTTACAAAAGCACTCTGGAGTTAATCAAAACTTTGGGCAGGTCAATTATAGATAATGTAAACCAAAAGACTCGCAAATGGCTTCCTTGCGGGACGCCAGATGTAACCCTTAGAACATTAGATAAATTATTCTTAAAGAGGACCTTTTGCGTCCTGCCATTCAGATAACTTAAGATCTAATAAGAAGATCACTTGGAAAACCCATTAAATCGACTTTTCTTACGAGGAGGGAATGGTTAACAGAGTCAAATGCTTTACTGAAATCAGTACAGATTACATCTGTCTGAAAGTTATTATGGAAACACTTAATAATATAGGAAGAGAGCTCCAAAAGGTTTGCTGTTGTTGATCCTCGCTTTATAAAACCATGTTGATATGTAGAAATAACTGATCTACAAAGGTGCTTTAAGTGAGGGGTGATGTTTTCAAAAAGTTTAGGGATGGCCGACAACTTAGAGATTCCTCTATAATTGCTGGCATCCAATTTGCTACCTTTTTGTGGAGAGGAATAATAATCGATTCCTTCCAAATAATGGGAAAGTGTGAGGTTTCCAAGGATAAGGTAAACAATTTCAGAAGGGGATACCACAGGGCGTCGGCACAATACCTGAGCACACAGCCACGAATTCCGTCGGGACCTGGCGAATAAACTGGCTTGACACGATGAAGATCTGAAAGAAAAGAGCTTTCGTTTAGGCTACGCCAGAAAATTAAGTTTGATTTGGGTATGTCGTAGGAATAGGTCTGGTTTAAATTCAAAGAGTTTGAATAAGTTGTTTGTAAAGTTTGACCGAGCTGATAAATAAGATGAAAGGGCAGATTAAGAATGAATTTAAATTAAGCATACAGCCTAGATTTTTTATTTTTAAGTCGGCTAAATTCTTCAGTAAACCACGGCGGTTTATTTAAGCTTGACGGATGTATAACGGAACACATTCAGTAAAAAATTAATTCATGGCATTGTAAAAAATATCCACGGCAAATGCCATGTCAGTGCACATGTATAGATCGGACCAATTGAACTCGTTTATAAAATTATTCAGCCGTTCAAAGTCCGTTTTGCGAAAACATAGGACTTTATTGGCTGGACGGTCAGATATATTCTGTACGTCAGACCCAATATCAAGAGTCACATCGAAAGTTGGATGATACGGATCTTCGGGCTGCGTCAGAGGCGCCAGCCCGGCTAAACTGACTCGCAGGATCAGAGACGAAACAAAGATCGAGCAGCGCTGTAAGGAATTTCGAACATGGTTGATTTGAGACAGCGAAATGTCAAACAAGCCAGCGATAAAGTCATGTTGTGTAGAAGTTAGGACAGTCTTGGTGGAATTATTTGAGCACCAAATAGCACCAGGGATATTAAAATCACCTAGGACTACCAACTGGTCTCTATCCAAAAGTCTACTGGAAACATTCTGAATAGCGGAAGGTGGTTCCAATAAATCGGAAGTTCCGACCGTGTTTAACTTTTGAGCCAAGTCACTTTTATCCAGCTCAGTGTTCGGTTTTCTCTATACGTGCTGGCGGCCAACAGAGCGATAAATATTAAAATTGGTTTCTTCCGAAAAGAGTACGTGATCCCAAAATTCAATTGGCTTAGCATAGATATCAGATATGAACGGCTTTCGACTAGCAGCTCGGCAATGTAAGTTGGTTTCGTGCAGGGCACATTTTACGGTCATCGGATGAATATCCTTCCCAAACTCGGTTTAAACTTCATTGGTGATCTGTGAGGATGATCGGCTTAGTTCCATCATTTTGGCTACTTCGCCATACGATTTGACTTCATTGTGCAGATGAAAGACAATTTTTCTTTGAGCTACGCAGGTTCATTTTCGCTTATTCTCCATTTTCTTAAAATTTAGCCAAATGGCAGAACTGTAGATAAATTTAAAATTTTTTTGAAAACTTTGTGACGCCAAGTGCTTAAAAAAAGTCCCCTTTTACATTTGTTTAAAATATGAACATAAAGGACTTAAATCTAAAATAAATCAAGTGAAACTAATAACTGTGCCAAGATTTTTGTGTCACGAAATATGATAATTTTCTTTTAAAGTTTATAGAGTTTTAAATTTATGAGACAAAATAAAATAAAAATTTGGTCATTTTATACATAATTATTTAATTTAACTATATTAAAAAAATGTATTCAATAAAATAATGTATACGCCTGGAAATAGCACTTAAAGTTAAAGTTTGTAACTGTGCCAACAGTTTAGTGCGTCACAGTATATACAATGACGAAGTTAGCTTCCTTTTATTTTATATGGATTTCGCAAAGGAATACCTATATACGCGAAATTTATTTGAAAATGGTTTGCGAAAATTCGGTTTAGAGGTTTTAACTGTAAGTTGGTTGAGCCTTTGGAACGATTTGCGGAAAATGATGAAATGATGATGGATGAATTCATAATTTATTAATAGAAGTGCTTCCGTCAAAAAATGGTTATTTTATTTTGCGCGCACGATCGCGTTTTTAAACCCATTTAAGAAAAAATTACACTTGTACGGCTGATACTTATAGGGTACAAGAGTATAATAGCTTGTTACCAATAAAAAATTTCGATTTATCCATATCTGCCGTATGAAAAAAACAAATCTAAGACTGTAAGGTTCAGGGTACAATTAACATATATTTCTTTTTACAAGTAAAATCGGATCCGATAATAATTTTAAAATGCGAAACCGGAGACAATCTTATTTAATATTCTCCGAATGTATTATCATTATCTGATATTAGCTAGTCGCTTAAAAAATTAATTAAATAACAGCAATGGCGGCATACTTACTTAGTAAATTATCATCATAATAAATATTCTCGTCTTTCGATGAATTTCCACTTCTTTTTTGTTCCTCTGTGAATATAGAATTTTTTATATAATCATTGCCATTATAAAGAAATAAGTTTTCAACATCCGTCATATTCATTGAATAAAATTGGTAAACGCCGAACATCTCAAAAAACTCGCGTACTGGCGTCATGCTGTAACATCCAGACAACTCAATTTTAGGGTAATATGTAATAAAGGTTAAACACATTTCTTCCTTTGTTGAATATCCGCCAAATGTGGGTAGTTTTCTATGTTTGGTTTCATATGCACAGTCTGTTATAAGATAATCTCCCGGTAAGACTACTGTTTCATTAGCAAGCTGATGAACATGCTGATAACTGTAATCATAATTATCATCTTCAATGATCCGTTTTAATTCTTTGCCAGACCGAATATGTCGTAGGCTCATTTTACGACCGGCTTCATGTGAGTGAAACGATCCAGAAATAATTTTAATTCCTTTCTCCGGAAACATCTAAGTTAAAAAAATTTAATTGAATAAATAAAAAAATATGATAATTACATACCACACTTGAACAAGGGGGACCACAAATCCCGACATTTCGGTAGATATTTTGACCAGGTGGAATTAGCTGAGTGTCAGATATAGAAACCCCACTTACTATGATGCCCGCGTCGTATGTACGCAAATCGTGTGTGTAATGTATTCGGAATCCAGAATGATCAACAACTAAGAAATCGAACGGATTTTAATTATAATTTTGTATTTTGTCTATCATACTTACTTTTCTTTCTGTTAGAATTATCATAGTGAACTTCTAGCATATAATATTTTACTCCTGATACACCGCCCATTGGAATACCAACATGAGAAGGCAAAAACTGTCCCTTAGATCCCGGCGACCAAACTGCAACTGGTGTGGAACAAGAATCCCAATCTCGTGGGGTCAGCAGATTACTGTTGCATACTGTGCCAGAACCTCTAACCCACAAATCCCACGATAATGGATCCGATCCAGGGTAGGATTTTGTCTGGCATTCGAAAAGGGTCATTTGATGGACAATATTTATATTTAAGTGACTGTGAATAAAAATAATCTTGTTATCGGGACAACAATTAATTTAATAACTAGTTGGTTACCCGGAATGAGATAACAGTGCCTCATAACCAATAATATGTTGTTTATTAGATAACTCTGGAATTCGTACTATTTTACACCAATATAGAGTGTTCATTGTGGGTTCGATGGTTACATTATTAACTGTTATATCCCAAACCCTCTAGTATTTAAAAATTATTTTTACTTTCGTGCGTAGTAAAATTAAAAATTATAATTTTATGTTTATTTTACTAAAAACGAAAAATAGTTATATTCATTTTGCATGACTTACTTCCATTTACATTACTGCATTAAAGTATTTAGCCAAATTTAAAATATAAAGACGATTAAAGAAAAGAGACTTAATATAAATGCATCTACATGTCTAGAACCTTTAGAACGAAAATCGCCATTACCACTTAACATATAATTCAGACAAGTCTTAGCTGGTTTGACATATGCGGTAAACTCAGGGAACCGTATAATTTCCGATGGCTGAAAAAATGAGAAATTTTCTTAGTTAACGCGAAACATCATAATAATTTTTAACAGAACTTACTATCGATATCGAGTCGTTCGAAACACGACAAAATGTCATGTGTTTTCCAGTTATAAATTCTAGCTCAACACGTTTTGTAAAGAGCGGTTCATGCCAAGGCAATTGATATAAATGGGACAAAAATGTTCGATCATGAAATTCAACAGGATCAGAAATAAGCAATTTGTCTGTAAATAAAAAGAAACCCTTAATGAATAAAGATAAGTTATGAGCATTATCGGATTTAAACGTACACACGGTCAAAATAATAAGTACACGCATATGAGGTTTCTTAAAGCCTCAAAAACTTATTTTATAAGCTTCAAGAAAAAATTATAATTTTTTTTAGCTTTCAAACTTACTACAGATAATAAAAAAATATAACAAAAGAAATTTGGATTTCACATTTAAAAACTACGACCGAATTGATCGAAAAATCATACATATGGGTTGGTCTAAATAATAAGTACAGAAATTCTTCTAAGCTTTGAGCTCGAAAATTATCAAACTTTTTTTTTATTAGTAAACTTATACTAGTATCTGACATAACCACCGTTATTTTGAATAAGTTTCGCTATAATTTTGGGGTACGAGACTACGAGGAAATTGACTACTGGTCAGGTTGTTTGCTTGCATAAGATCTAGTACTTCTACTTGGTACGTGGAAATTAAGCTGCTTCTACAAGTCAGCACTTTCCAAATCACCATGGATAAGCTTATAAATGAAGGTTATTCTTAGCATCGTTCTACGATTGGCTTAGGACGGTATGTTTATTAAGAGGAGTCTATTTGAATAGGAAGATAATCTTTGGTTTGCATTCCAATTTAAACCGCATAGAGCGAAAAGCAAAAAGTTCTTTTGAACCAACTCGATGCGTTTACTATGGACGCCGTACTGAGGGCTCCATACACAGCATCCATATTCTAAGATGGGACGAACTAAAGAGGTATATAAGGATTAAGTGACACACGGGTCATTGAATTCCTTCGACCACCGTTTAATAAATCCAAGCACACCGCTGGCTCTATTCACCATAGACGAATTATGATCAATAAAGTCAAGTTTTGGGTCTATCCGGATGCCCAAATCATCGACTGAATAAATTCTTTCCCGTTTAAGTTTAATAAGTTTACACGGCACAAAGTTTGAAAATTATTGAGATCTGTTTGTAAATTCGACTGGAAGACGACGTCATTGTATTGCACGCAAAGCGTGACGTCATCCGCTTACAAAAGCACTCTGGAGTTAATCAAAACTTTGGGCAGGTCAATTATAGATAATGTAAACCAAAAGACTCGCAAATGGCTTCCTTGCGGGACGCCAGATGTAACCCTTAGAACATTAGATAAATTATTCTTAAAGAGGACCTTTTGCGTCCTGCCATTCAGATAACTTAAGATCTAATAAGAAGATCACTTGGAAAACCCATTAAATCGACTTTTCTTACGAGGAGGGAATGGTTAACAGAGTCAAATGCTTTACTGAAATCAGTACAGATTACATCTGTCTGAAAGTTATTATGGAAACACTTAATAATATAGGAAGAGAGCTCCAAAAGGTTTGCTGTTGTTGATCCTCGCTTTATAAAACCATGTTGATATGTAGAAATAACTGATCTACAAAGGTGCTTTAAGTGAGGGGTGATGTTTTCAAAAAGTTTAGGGATGGCCGACAACTTAGAGATTCCTCTATAATTGCTGGCATCCAATTTGCTACCTTTTTGTGGAGAGGAATAATAATCGATTCCTTCCAAATAATGGGAAAGTGTGAGGTTTCCAAGGATAAGGTAAACAATTTCAGAAGGGGATACCACAGGGCGTCGGCACAATACCTGAGCACACAGCCACGAATTCCGTCGGGACCTGGCGAATAAACTGGCTTGACACGATGAAGATCTGAAAGAAAAGAGCTTTCGTTTAGGCTACGCCAGAAAATTAAGTTTGATTTGGGTATGTCGTAGGAATAGGTCTGGTTTAAATTCAAAGAGTTTGAATAAGTTGTTTGTAAAGTTTGACCGAGCTGATAAATAAGATGAAAGGGCAGATTAAGAATGAATTTAAATTAAGCATACAGCCTAGATTTTTTATTTTTAAGTCGGCTAAATTCTTCAGTAAACCACGGCGGTTTATTTAAGCTTGACGGATGTATAACGGAACACATTCAGTAAAAAATTAATTCATGGCATTGTAAAAAATATCCACGGCAAATGCCATGTCAGTGCACATGTATAGATCGGACCAATTGAACTCGTTTATAAAATTATTCAGCCGTTCAAAGTCCGTTTTGCGAAAACATAGGACTTTATTGGCTGGACGGTCAGATATATTCTGTACGTCAGACCCAATATCAAGAGTCACATCGAAAGTTGGATGATACGGATCTTCGGGCTGCGTCAGAGGCGCCAGCCCGGCTAAACTGACTCGCAGGATCAGAGACGAAACAAAGATCGAGCAGCGCTGTAAGGAATTTCGAACATGGTTGATTTGAGACAGCGAAATGTCAAACAAGCCAGCGATAAAGTCATGTTGTGTAGAAGTTAGGACAGTCTTGGTGGAATTATTTGAGCACCAAATAGCACCAGGGATATTAAAATCACCTAGGACTACCAACTGGTCTCTATCCAAAAGTCTACTGGAAACATTCTGAATAGCGGAAGGTGGTTCCAATAAATCGGAAGTTCCGACCGTGTTTAACTTTTGAGCCAAGTCACTTTTATCCAGCTCAGTGTTCGGTTTTCTCTATACGTGCTGGCGGCCAACAGAGCGATAAATATTAAAATTGGTTTCTTCCGAAAAGAGTACGTGATCCCAAAATTCAATTGGCTTAGCATAGATATCAGATATGAACGGCTTTCGACTAGCAGCTCGGCAATGTAAGTTGGTTTCGTGCAGGGCACATTTTACGGTCATCGGATGAATATCCTTCCCAAACTCGGTTTAAACTTCATTGGTGATCTGTGAGGATGATCGGCTTAGTTCCATCATTTTGGCTACTTCGCCATACGATTTGACTTCATTGTGCAGATGAAAGACAATTTTTCTTTGAGCTACGCAGGTTCATTTTCGCTTATTCTCCATTTTCTTAAAATTTAGCCAAATGGCAGAACTGTAGATAAATTTAAAATTTTTTTGAAAACTTTGTGACGCCAAGTGCTTAAAAAAAGTCCCCTTTTACATTTGTTTAAAATATGAACATAAAGGACTTAAATCTAAAATAAATCAAGTGAAACTAATAACTGTGCCAAGATTTTTGTGTCACGAAATATGATAATTTTCTTTTAAAGTTTATAGAGTTTTAAATTTATGAGACAAAATAAAATAAAAATTTGGTCATTTTATACATAATTATTTAATTTAACTATATTAAAAAAATGTATTCAATAAAATAATGTATACGCCTGGAAATAGCACTTAAAGTTAAAGTTTGTAACTGTGCCAACAGTTTAGTGCGTCACAGTATATACAATGACGAAGTTAGCTTCCTTTTATTTTATATGGATTTCGCAAAGGAATACCTATATACGCGAAATTTATTTGAAAATGGTTTGCGAAAATTCGGTTTAGAGGTTTTAACTGTAAGTTGGTTGAGCCTTTGGAACGATTTGCGGAAAATGATGAAATGATGATGGATGAATTCATAATTTATTAATAGAAGTGCTTCCGTCAAAAAATGGTTATTTTATTTTGCGCGCACGATCGCGTTTTTAAACCCATTTAAGAAAAAATTACACTTGTACGGCTGATACTTATAGGGTACAAGAGTATAATAGCTTGTTACCAATAAAAAATTTCGATTTATCCATATCTGCCGTATGAAAAAAACAAATCTAAGACTGTAAGGTTCAGGGTACAATTAACATATATTTCTTTTTACAAGTAAAATCGGATCCGATAATAATTTTAAAATGCGAAACCGGAGACAATCTTATTTAATATTCTCCGAATGTATTATCATTATCTGATATTAGCTAGTCGCTTAAAAAATTAATTAAATAACAGCAATGGCGGCATACTTACTTAGTAAATTATCATCATAATAAATATTCTCGTCTTTCGATGAATTTCCACTTCTTTTTTGTTCCTCTGTGAATATAGAATTTTTTATATAATCATTGCCATTATAAAGAAATAAGTTTTCAACATCCGTCATATTCATTGAATAAAATTGGTAAACGCCGAACATCTCAAAAAACTCGCGTACTGGCGTCATGCTGTAACATCCAGACAACTCAATTTTAGGGTAATATGTAATAAAGGTTAAACACATTTCTTCCTTTGTTGAATATCCGCCAAATGTGGGTAGTTTTCTATGTTTGGTTTCATATGCACAGTCTGTTATAAGATAATCTCCCGGTAAGACTACTGTTTCATTAGCAAGCTGATGAACATGCTGATAACTGTAATCATAATTATCATCTTCAATGATCCGTTTTAATTCTTTGCCAGACCGAATATGTCGTAGGCTCATTTTACGACCGGCTTCATGTGAGTGAAACGATCCAGAAATAATTTTAATTCCTTTCTCCGGAAACATCTAAGTTAAAAAAATTTAATTGAATAAATAAAAAAAATATGATAATTACATACCACACTTGAACAAGGGGGACCACAAATCCCGACATTTCGGTAGATATTTTGACCAGGTGGAATTAGCTGAGTGTCAGATATAGAAACCCCACTTACTATGATGCCCGCGTCGTATGTACGCAAATCGTGTGTGTAATGTATTCGGAATCCAGAATGATCAACAACTAAGAAATCGAACGGATTTTAATTATAATTTTGTATTTTGTCTATCATACTTACTTTTCTTTCTGTTAGAATTATCATAGTGAACTTCTAGCATATAATATTTTACTCCTGATACACCGCCCATTGGAATACCAACATGAGAAGGCAAAAACTGTCCCTTAGATCCCGGCGACCAAACTGCAACTGGTGTGGAACAAGAATCCCAATCTCGTGGGGTCAGCAGATTACTGTTGCATACTGTGCCAGAACCTCTAACCCACAAATCCCACGATAATGGATCCGATCCAGGGTAGGATTTTGTCTGGCATTCGAAAAGGGTCATTTGATGGACAATATTTATATTTAAGTGACTGTGAATAAAAATAATCTTGTTATCGGGACAACAATTAATTTAATAACTAGTTGGTTACCCGGAATGAGATAACAGTGCCTCATAACCAATAATATGTTGTTTATTAGATAACTCTGGAATTCGTACTATTTTACACCAATATAGAGTGTTCATTGTGGGTTCGATGGTTACATTATTAACTGTTATATCCCAATTCCTTGTCTCCGATATTTTTTTTTTTCTTGTTTGTGGATCTCGGCTATTTTGGGTAAACATAGGAGAAAGTAAATGCACTGACTTGACACCTCTGTTTTTTCCATGCCATGTTAAGCTTTCATAATTGGGATCCATTTCCCCAAAGGACCAAAGTATTTTTACAGTATCAGTCTGTAAATTAATGAATATGTTTATTTATATTTAAGAATTTTTATATAATAACATACCGAAAATGGAATATCATATGGGTCACAGGTTTCTATCTTACGTTTAAACTTTACATTTGTATGTGTAGCATTTTGAAAGCCATTTAGGACATAATAGTTTTGTGTATCATCTAGTAGTGGGTCTTTATTCAATGAATGTTGTGCGCCATGATAGTCCTGTAAAATTTTAGAATGTGTTCCATTAAAACATTACAAAAATCTAATCCAATTCTAAACCAGCTCAAAAGGCAAAGATTAAAAATGTATATATATATTAAATATATGCACTTAAATAATAATAATTACTAATCGACACACTTACAGAAGAGCTCTAGTTGTTGCCATATGTTTGTGTTATGAGTTTTGGACAAAAACTTTCTTTTCCGTTTCTAGGTGCTCTGGTTTTTTAAAATGCTATGTAATTTGTTTTGTTATTGTTTTTCAGAATTAAGCCAAAAGCTCAAATGTCCTTACGTTTTTAAATTGTTTGTTTTGAAGCAAAATTAAGGAAGTATTGTCAATTTTACCATTAATTTCGAATGTCAACTTTTATATTGAAGAAATATTTGTTCAATTGTTTAAAATTGCCAGGCGACCGGGCAACTTCCATGTGGTACGATTTCGCTAATGCTAATGCTCACGGCGCTGTTTTCATATATTTTCTGAATCATTAAAAACAATTTTTTTTTTTTTAAGATTAAGCACTGTTTGCAAAAAAATAAAATGCACAAAAAAACCGAGAATATTCATTTCTTATGTTTTTAAATATAATGATATTTTGGCTTCGAAAAATTTGATCTTAAAATTTTTAAAATATTTTTGATCGAATAAAGAGAAAAACAAATGCTTGGATTAAATTGAAAATTTGTTGGTATTTTGTGGGTATATTAAACTGTACAGGGCAAACTAACTTAACATTCAGGATTTCCTCAATATTTTCGATTTGGCCCTGTACTTTTTAAAAACCCACCAAAAGCATGTCAAATGTATTGGATTACATTCGATAAAATAAAATCAAAGTAAATGCCAATAAAAAGAGATGAGATTAACATTCAAGTGGGCTATCAACTATCCCAAATAAGTTTGAGGTTCAACCGGGGACGTTGACCAATTGTAGTCGGGCGGGTTAATCCAGCTGTGTCTGCACGGAGCCTTCCCAGGGCCAGGCAACCCTAGGTCGTGGCCTTGCCGCTGCTTTAAGGCTAAGCTGCGGTCGACCTGTCTTCAAAGTGCCAAGCCCCCTTTGGCCCGCAGGACGAGCAAAGCGGGCGTTCATGAAATGAGATGAATACAACAAAGCGAGCTTCGGAACTCCAGGGAGAGGATCAACCCCAAAAACTGTCAACGAAGGACGAGAAGGAGATGCTGAGGACGAGATTGGTCGCGGCATCTCACATTGTATCGGAGACCGACGAAGAAGTGTCGCAATGCGAAGGGAGGGCGAGTAGCACTTCCCAATCTAAACACATAGGTGATGCTCAGCTGGGCACAACCTCAGAGATGGCGAAAATCTGAAGCGCAGCTAGCACGGTTCAGCTGATCTTACGATCCTTCTAAGGGAGAGGGATATGGACATCGGTTTGATACAGGAGCCTTGGACCAGGGACGGGCAAGTCGCTGGACTAAGAATCCAAGGATACACACTACTGTGCACAAACTCGAATGGTAGGTCGAGAGCTTGCATAGTAATTAAGAATCATTTTAATGCTTTTCTCTGTCCCAATCTCAGCACACCTGACCTAGCAGTGGCCAGATTCGTAGCGGCGGATGGGAGCGGAGTCACTATATCATCGGAGTTCGGAGTTCGGAGACACACGAAAGAGGTGAGTCACTCTTTGACAATATTATATGTAGAAATGTAACGATATGCAATAAGGGTAATACCCCGACCTTCATCTTTCCGAGCACGGAAAATTTTGTTGGGAAGAGGTGTTAGATCTCACCTTACTAATATAACAGAATAACTGGAGATAACAGAGAACTGGAGGGTTTCGACAGAGCACTCCTTCTCAGACCATAGGTACATTTTCTTTGAAATAACGACGCCAGTTAAGAAACAGGTGCCAAGAAGAAAGCGAAATTGTTCAATCCAAAGTAAACGGCAGGAGGATCAAGATATTATCCACTGCAAAGGCACTCGACAAAGAGGTAAAGGACCTAAGGAATATCCTGAACAACGCCTTCAAAGAGACTTGTAACCTAACCTCGAAGCAGCAATACCCCCCGTGGTGGACAAAGGAACTAAGAGAGCACAGAAAGAGCGCGAGAAAGGCCTTCAACAACAGCTATGTAACGCGGGATTGGTTAACATACAAAGAAGCACACAAAATTTATAAAAAGGCAGTATTCAAGGATTAGAAAGAGTTCTGGCAAAACTACTGCGAGTCACTAGAAGGCATAAAGGACACGGCGAGAGTAAGCAAAATTCTCGCCAAGGGGCACATAAGCCCTACCCTGATCAACAGGGCAGACGGCTCTGCTACGACGACAATTGAGGAGTCACTAGAGCTACTAGTTGACACCCACTTCCCAGAAAGCCTAAGAGTGAGCTCGGAACCCGAGGAGGGAACGAGCTCTCAAATGGATACACCTACGAAAGACATCATTACCACTGAGCGAATCCAGTGGGCAATAGATTCTTTCGATAAGTATAAAAGCCCTGGCCCAGACGTCTTAATAGCGGCAATGCTACAATCAGCCAAGGATAGCATTTGCAGATGGCTAAAAGCCATTTACGAAGCTTGTATAAAACTGACGCACATCCCACTCCTGTGGAGGGAAGCAAAAGTCATATTTATACCGAAACCGGGCAGAAGGGGCATATCCTAGCAAAGGATTATAGACCGATAAGTCTCACCTCCTTCGCCCTGAAGACACTAGAGAGACTCCTGGACGTCCACATCCGGGAGTTCTAGAGGGACATCAACTCTCGGATATCAACTCTCTTTGCGTACCGCAAAGGAAAGTCAACGGAAACAGCAGTACACGAAGTTGTACATCATGTCGAGAAAATATTACAACAGAAGCAAAACACGATGGCTGCCTTCCTAGACATGGAAGGCGCGTTCAATAAAGTGAACCCCAACTCTATCCAGGGCTCCCTCAACTTGTTAGGTATTGAGAGAGGCATCAGAAAGTGGATCGGGGTCATGCTAAAGAGCAGGACGATCACAGTCAAACTGAGTGGCACTCACCTCACGCGGACTGTGAAGGGAGGCACACCTCAGGGCGGGGTATTATTGCCCCTACTCTGGCTCACAAATATGAACGTCATTTTGCCAGATCTCAATACGGGTGGAGTTAAAGCAGTTGCATACGCAGACGACGTAGTACTGCTAGTATCAGGACCTTACCCTGACGTTATTAGCGAAATAATGAAGGGTGCGCTCAGTCGCTTAAATAAATGGGCAAAAACCTGCGGACTAGGTATCAATCCCACTAAGACAGAACTTATGCTCTTCAACATGCCCAGTAAAAACGGCATGGAGCTAAAACTAGCGGAACGAGCAAAGTATCTAGGAGTAATTCTGAATAAAATGGTCTCATGGAAAGAAAACAAGAAGGAAAATGTTTGGGAACAAATGGGGACTGCACCCAAAGATAATTTTATGGCTCTACTCAGCAGTGGGACGGCCAATACTAACATACGGAGCCCAAGTATAGTGGCCGGCACTAACTAAGGCTTACAACAGAACGAAGCTGACACGGATGCAACGGGCAGCGAGTGCGGGGGCCGTGGGTGCAATGCGCTAAAGCCCCGCAGCTGCCCTAAACGCTATCCTGAATATAATGCCGATAGAACTGTTCGTGAAGGACCTTGCAGCACAGAGCGCAGTGAGACTGAATCTACTCGGATAGCCAAGCGATTATAAAATCCCTAGCTGCCGTGAAAACGAACTCACGACTAGTGGCAGAATGCAAGAAGGCCCTTAATAGACTTGCTGACAAAAATAAGGTACAAGTAACATGGGTACCGGGACACAACGAGATCCCAGGAAATGTGAAGGCAGACGAACTAGCCCGTGCAGGCTCGGCAGGGCTAAAAACAGACTTCGAATTACCGATCTCCCTAAACGCGATCCAGACAAGGATCCATGACCAATTTAAGCAGATAGCTAATAAAAAATGTCTATGTTAGAGCGATCACAGAAGGTCAAGCGAATGTTGGCCGAGGTACGACAAAAAACGATTCAGTGAACTGCTATCCATCAGCAAGCGAGATATTAGCAGGTTCACGGCAGTCATAACGGAACATTGGGCGATCGGTTCGCACGCAATGAAGTTGGGACTGCCATATAATGCAATCTGTAGAAGCTGTAAGCAACCTACAGATCAAGAGACAACGGAACATCTGCTCTGCTTCTGCCCAGCGCTAAACCACATCAGACTTCGCCACTTTGGTACCTACCAGATGGAGTTACTGGGAAGTATAAGAAAGCCAAAAGTTTCGGCAATCCTAGGTTTCCTTACTGACTCTGGGTGGTACTGATAGTGAACAACAACAACAAACAGAGGGAGTGGATCAAAAAGGAGCTTAGCTCTAATTGGATGCCCCAGTATTGGGTCTCACTGTAACCTACCTTCCATATATTGATTTTAATTGGCGGTTATTGCAGGATCAAATCTGTGAATGTAAAACTGCAAATATGTATAGGTGAAGGAAATGAAAGCAGGTATTACTTCATTGTTTTTTAACACAAATATATATTATTTATATTGTATGGATTCCTATTCATCGAAGTTCTATCTGCAAGGGTATATAAACTTCGGCGTGCCGAAGTTAGCTTCAATTTTCAATTTTTATTTCAATTTTATTTTCAATTTTTTTCACAAAACTTACCAGCTATGACCGACAGGTGCTGTGAAAAAGTATACCGGGAAGAGCCAGGACAAAAAAACACCTGGCACCTGTCGTAAATGTTATTCAGCCATAACTAGTATTTTTGTGCAAAATTAAAAAACGGAATAATTGAATTGTACAATTTTTAGTGGAATTTTTATCACGTAGCAATTTTAACCATTTCTAATCCAGATTTTATAATAATTTTGTAAACATTTTTTTTTCGTAACAAGTACTTTTTGCAACCAATATTAGGGATTAAACAATTGTAAACATAACACATTAGGTGATATTATTTAATTTTCAGAGGTGGTTTTTAATAAACATATTTAAAATT